CCGTTATTTATTCTTATGACCGATTAATCTTTTCTAAGCATTTATTGGCTCGTTCACAGTACGGATACTAATGTGATTTATTTAACGACATTGTTAAATATAAATAGTGTTATTATCGTATTAAATGGTATCAAACATTACTGTTAAATTAAATAAGGCCATGGTTTTAGTCAGATAAATTATCCATAATATCTTATGGGATGTTTATACTGTTAATTGATATATAAACCATGATTATTATGCTGTGTGCATTTCAGGAAATAAATGGACTATTTAATTATGTCGCATTTATATTATATGGATGTGTTGCCATATAGAACCATATGAGCTGGCTAATAAGTTTAGACTCATTTATACCTTATGCATTCGTTGCTATAGACAGATGTGTGGCTGTCGGGGTATGTGGTTTAATATTATTGGCATGTGTTGCCTAATTGACATACTCGGTATATTTATTAATATTGTTGGCATGTGTTGCCTAATTTATATGCTCAATATATTCATCAGTACTTTGCGAGGTGTTATCACTGTGTAGTTCGTTATAGTCTGTGTTGTCAGTACCGTGCACCATGTATAATAACTGATTTCCCGGGTAGGGAAAGGCGACACTTAACCACCTAGTGTGAGTCTAAGTGATCACCGTCTATTCTGGTTGAGGTCATGTTATACATTGGATGGTTCCCTTAGGATGTATACAGATATAGTACTCATTCGGATATAAATGATTAATTTATTTGATTCTCTGATTTGGGTCATAATAGAGAGGACTTGCTCGTGGGGTTGACCCACCATTGTTGTTATTTCAGGATACGGTCAGTACTCGTTCCAAGGTTGAGGTTAGCAGTGTGGGACCACCATCCGAACTCATCTACTCTTACGATCCAGTTCAGGGTAGAAGTTTTATGTATTACTTCAGTTTCAGTTTTTATTTACTTTTGACGTTGAACTCTCAAGGTTATATTTAGGGATCCTTGACATAGGATTTCCAAGTTGTAATGAAGTACGGTATTAAATAAAGGATGGATGGATGTTGTATTATTTAGTGTTTCTTTCCTGTCTAAATTCTTTTATTATCATCATTTTGTATTCCATGCTTGTATATTGCCAATTGTTTTTGATATCCCTCGTTTTTCGTGTATAAGCCTGATCAACTTATGCGTGGAAAATGTGGGGGTGTTACAAAACCAATCTCAAGTGTTTTAAGTGATCTTTCAATGACTCACTATAGACTACAATGTCATCCAAGTAAACAACAACAAAGCGATCGATGTAGTCATAAAACACATTATTCATTAAGTTGCAGAAGGTTGCCGGGGCATTAGTTAGCCCAAACGGCATTACAAGAAATTCATAAGACCCATAACGAGTTACACATGCAGTTTTGGGTTCATCTCCTTCTGCTATACGCACCTGCCAGTAGCCTGCATGTAAATCCAACTTAGTAAAGTAGGATGCCCCTGACAACCTATCAAATAAATCAGCGGCACTGGGCACTGGGTACTTGTTCTTCACAGTCACCTTATTCAGAGCCCTATAGTCCACACACATCCGCATTGAGCCATCTTGCTTCTTCTGGAACAACACTGGCGCGCCATACGGTGCATTGGATGGTTGAATATAGCCAGACTCCAGCAACTCATCCAACTGTCTACGCAGTTCAGCCAGTTCTGAAGGCACCATCCGGTATGGGGCCTGAGCAGGAGCCCTTGCACCCGGCTCCAACTCTATCTTGTGATCAACAGCACGTCGAGGTGGCAATTTCTTGGGTAGTTCTGGTGGCATCACTTCTGCAAATTCCTCTAGAATTTCAGCAACAGAATCCGGAACTTCAACAAGCTGGTCCGGTTTGATCTCTATCATAGCTACAAGAAAGGTAGAGTCTCCCCTCTTCAAACCTGTTTTCACTTGCAATGCAGAGATTATTTCGATGCAGCCATATTTACGATCTTCCTTCTTTTAGTGCCCATAAAGAGCCACTGATGGAATAAAACATGGACAACTCCTGTCCCAAATAAAAACTCCTCCCAAATATGGCACAACTACCACTCTGGCTTTCGTAAGGAACTCAATTCCAAGAATTAGATCAAAATCATCTAAGGGTACAGCCATAAGACTAACTACGCCCTCCCAACAACCAACTTTCATAGAAGTGGTGGCCATGCCTAAGACAGGCTTGGCTTTAGAATTCACAGCTTTCATCTTATTAGCATGTGGAATTAACTTTAAATTAAAGTTACTTACTTCCCTCTGCGCAATGAAGTTATGAGTGGCCCCCGTGTCCACCATTGCCAAAACTTCCTTGCCGTTCAGCGTCACCTGAATGAACATGAGCCCTTTCAACTCCATGGACTGTTCTTCAGTAAGAGCATTCAGCATTTGCAGAGGATTAACTGGGGTTGGACCAGATTCCGAGTCTGAGTCTCCTTTTGAATCAGCGACAATAACACTCAGCTTCTCCCTCTTGGGACAGTCCCTAACACGATGGGGACCATTGCAGATGAAACAACCGTAGTTGGGCTTAGTCCCACTACTACTCCCTTTGTTATTGTAATCTGTCTTGGCCTTGACAAAGCCACCGCCTTTATCCTTCTTTTGATTCTTGTCCTTCTTCTTGTCCTTGAACCTGAAGGACTGGCCTTTGTCTTTCTTCCCCTCCTTGGACTTCTTCTTGTCTTGTGTAGTAGACCCAGTTATCTTGAAATCTACAAGACAATTTGCCGCTGTCATGGCAGTAGGAAGGTCCCTCACACCTTGCCTACGGAGTTCTGTCTGAGCCCATGGTTGCAATCCGGACATGAAATTGAACAGCTTGTCCTCCTTTGACATATTTCGAATGTCCAGCATCAAGGAACTAAAGTCCTTCACATAGTCACGAACGGTACCTGTGTGCTTCAATTTCTTCAGAGATTCCCTTGCAATCCATGCAGTGTTCTGAGGCAAGAACTGGTCCTTCAATTACTTCTTAAGGGTCTCCCAAACTTCAATCCGAGGCCTACCCGCAGAAGCATCGTCCTCTGTCCGTGTGCACCACCATAGCTTTGCATCACCAGACAGATACATACTTGTAATGGTCACATTCTCGCCATCAGGGATCCGAGCAGCCTTGAAGTATTGCTCCATGTCCCATAGGAAATTCTCCAACTATTTGGCATTTCGGGTACCACTGAAAGACTTGGGATCCGGCACCTTGATCTTCTGTGAAAGAGGATCACCACCGCCTCTGGAACTCCCATGAATGGCCCTCTTCACCAAGGACATTTCATCTTCAAGGTCTTTCAGGTTCTTCTTGAAGACATCAGTTAATGACTCAACATCTTCAGAGATACGGGTCAAGTACTCTTTGGTGGCCTGCATGAAGTCACCAAACCCATCAGGATCAGTCTTCAAGATCTTCATTTTAGAAGCCAAGTTTTCAATTCGAACAACAAAGCTCTCTGCACCATCTTGTACCTCTGTTTCTGTAGGAAAACCCACGAACTCTTCCAAATGGGAAACTCTCTCACGAGTATTACCTCCAGCCATCGTAGAACGGGGCTCTGATACCAATTGTTACAGGGCTAAATTACACTACGAATTTTTGCCTCTGTAATGGCACTTGGGGCCACCAAGTCTCAGCCAACACAACAACACAATACACACAGTATAGAAATGTAAAGAAGGCACACACAGTTTACAGGGACAAGTCCCAACCTTTGCTCATATTAAACATATTACAAAGGAACATGAGTTCGTACAAGGAACAATCAAGGCTCACACCCTCTTCTCTGTCCCCTCTACAAAGCCCACCTTAGCATTATATAGGCCACCATCAAAACCGCCCATAACTGCCCACTAAGATGATGGATGACACCCCCATCCACCTAGGGTCGTGCTGGCACCCTCTAAATGTGCCAGCACTATAATGCAGTTGACAAGTCCAACTGCTAGACTTGTTGGCATGTTCTGCTTATGCCACATAACCACAAGAAGTTACATTCTGCATAGTGGAGGAAACCACCCTTAACCGCCTGTGTGTTGGTCTTCTCAGAATTGTGCCACATGCTTGGGAGGTTACTCAGCACTCCCCCACTTCCCATGATGAGTGGGAAGTGCTAGTAACTCCCCCCAACCGACCGAGCCCACTAAGCCACCACCTCTTGTAACCGTAAGCCATGACTTTGTGTTGTCCATACTCTAGCTACATCTGAGTCAACCTTGTGAACCTAGCCCAAGTCCACCAATCTGCACCCACATATATATGTCTCTGAGTGCACGGCGTGCCAAGCCATGCACGCCCGTGCGCACGCTCGAGTGCACACCAAAGTGCACGCCGGTGCACACACTAGTGCCCTTCTTCGCACGCCATGTTTGAACCCTCATGCGCCCGTGGCTGTACACCCACCTGGACGCCTATGCACACGCCGAGCTAGACGCTCGCGCACACTAGGACGCCAGCCCGCGCGCCCACCTGCACTCCCGCACGCGCGCCGCTGCACACCAGCGAGCGTGTCGGTGCCACTTGTTTGCCCTTCAATATCTTGGATGCTCCCCACTTGTGCAACCATCTTGGAGTGGTGCAACACATGCCCATGCACGTTGGCTAAGTCCTCTAAGCAAGCCATGCCATAGCCCAACCGAATGTGCTCAACAGACCCCCCCTAGTATAGTCTTAAGGAAATCCAGCACCCTGACAGGAGTAAACATCACCCATGCTTGAGGAATCATAATGGCCTTTCAGGCCTTTCTTGACATCCAAATTGAGTGCCGTCTGCGCCAACCAGCTTCTATGGACTCAAGGTACCTCCCATAAAGATCCTGAGTCAAAACTCCAAGTTTCATTTTTCGCCATATTTACGAAAGTGCCACTGAGCACCCCCAGTGCACGCCGAGCATCCTTTTAAGCATCTTGTGTGCACACTGACAACCCCTTGAGCAATCCTCATGGCTGTCTAACCAAAGCCAAAGTATTCCCAAAACATGACATGGCCTTGAAATGCCCATGTCTTCCCTTGGACAACCGTCAAGGGGCTAACACATATTCAGTATCCTTTATTTGTGCTTCCTAGTCTTGGTTACTCACAAGAATGGTTTTAGATTGCCCAATGTATATGAGATGGGAGACTGTATGTGTTGGGTAATGTATCATTGAGTATTCTGAAGAAATCCGACACCACAATTATTAAAATAAACAAAAAATAAAGTAATTTAGTTGACTCTCAATAGCGCTCTCTCTTCGTCTGAGTCGGAATAGATCAGCCCGAAGGACGCAAACCCTAAACTCTGGTTCGATTAGGAAAATTGGAATTTATCCAAATTGTATTCATAATTTCAGATCGCAAATGATGCCGGAACCAAAAGACCGATCCACGAGGTCCACCGATGTTTCTGTGATGGTTTTTCGACATGGAATTGGTGGTATTTTGGTGGATGATCCGGAGATGGGGTCGACTGAGGGGAGTGGCCGTTCCAGGTTGTGGTGGCCTTCGGAGAGGTAGCTTGGGTACACGAACAGATACCAGATCTCCTCTCCAGAATATCACTGCCTTTGTGCGGGTAATGATTTTTTTGAAGTATTTTTGTTTGAACATCTTTATGCTTAATTAGAGACCAATTTTTGCATTTCTAAAAACTGGTTGACAATCCCACAAGATTTACAACTAGTGTTTGCCAAATATTCAAATATTCATTGCATAAAATTGTTTCTCAATTTTAAACGGGAAGCAGAAATCATTGAGAGGTAACCTCATACTGAGGATGCGATACGGATTCACTTCCTCAAGCCATGGGGTTTGAGAAAAATAGTTTTGAGCAGTTGTTAATGAAATGTCAATTTCTGATATTAGTGTTTGGCCGTGAATTTAGTTTAGAATTATCTTCCCAGAAGTGGATTCAAATTAAGTTGTACTCATAAATTTCTTTTCATTTACTAATCACTTCTGTTTTCCCAGTTAATTTAGATCTTTTTTTTCATTATAGCTATGTGTTCTTCAAGTAGTTTTAATGAACTTTCCGCTTTTTTGAAGTTTGGATTAGAGCAGATTTGATGTTATTTAAACACATTTTTCAGTGTTAGAATCTGATTGAGGAGCTATGTGTTCTTCAAGTAGTTTTAATGTTTTGAGGTTTGGTTAAGAGCAGATTTGATGTTATTTAAACACATTTTCAGTGTAAGAATCTGATTGAGGAAAGTTAATTTCATAGGGTTTTGAAAGAAAAAGAGAACGTGAAAGCTTGAGAGAAATAGAAGGACTCGAGAAATAGAAGCACTTGAAAGATAGATATTAAAGAAAGCAGGGACAGGAAGAAAAGCACCATCTGGGGACAGAGAAAGAGAAAGAGGGACAGGAAGAAAAAGCACCATCTGGGCACAGAGAAAGAGGGACAGGAAAAAAAACACCATATGGGCACAGAGCAGAAACTAGGCAACATTTCATAGTTGAGAATAATAGCCACTTAGAAACCTAAGTTTCAATTAAATGGTCCTTATCAGCCAGTTACTAAAGTAACGAAACATATAGTAATCCTAACTATTGCTGTGAGATCAAATATTGACAGTTGCCGAGAATCAACTCAGAAAACCCTCAACGCATTGACATTAATGTTCACACTCTTTTCTCAGCGTCTTCCTTCTTTGCACTCGATGAGTTCTTTAATTTTTGCAATTCGGCCATGATAACATTCCCCACCGTCTCTAAAGAGTTGAAAAGTTGCGGGTTTATCATGGCGGAATTGCAAAAATTAAAGAACTCATCAGTGCAAAGAAAGAAGAGGCTGAGAAAAGAGTGTGAACATTAATGTCAATGTGTTGAGGGTTTTCTGAGTTGATTCTCGGCAACTGTCAATATTTTTGATCTCACAGCAATAGTTAGGATTACTATATGTACAGTTACTTAGAAACTGGCTGATAAGGACCATTTAATTGAAACTTAGGTTTCTACATGGGTATTATAAATGTTGCCTAGTTTCTGCTCTGTACCTTGATGGTGCTTTATCTTCCTGTCCCTCTTTTCTTTACATTTCAAGTTGATCTTCCTTGGCAGATAGACTACTGGAGCATCTAATCGAGTTGGAGCAGAAATGCTGAGGCCAGTATTGGGCTCTCAGCTACTAGCAGTACAATTTTCTAGAGGTGAGAATTGAAATGCATTCCTTTTATGTATTGCATTTTGTTTCTTTTAGAGATTGATTTTTCTTTTTTTTTTTTCTTTTTTTTTTTTTTTTTTTTTTTTTTTCTCCCTCCTAAGGGGTCCAAACTGGTGTTTTGAGCAAATTGAAGGAGCTCCATTCGATCACCCTCCTTCAATACCACACCAGGATCTCTTCTATTTTCTTGCACCCTGAAAACTTGGCAGTTATTTTGCTCCAACTTCTCGTGTTGGGTCATTTAAGCCACTCCAAGGCCCAGAAAGCGCAGGGAATTCCTCTTGTAGGAGGGTTGGGCATCAACCACCAGTTCAAGAACGACCAACACCACTTATTGTTTTGACTTGCCCCTTGAGAGGAGTTAAATCGTGAGTTTTTGTAGCCCAGTGGCTTTTACAAGACTTTCTTAGTGGCGACACATTCTACAAGAAGACAAGTCCCTCAAGGATAAACCCAAAAGCATTTCTTGACCTCCCTTCAAGGGGATCCTAGGGAGGTGTAGGAAGAGTTGGTGGAAGACCCGAGGCGACAGAGAAAGTGACATCAAAATGGAAGTGGGATTGGCCAGCGGCAGGTGTAGTTGCACCCTGCCATTCCTGATGTGACTGGCTATTCGGAAAGAAAGAATTGAATAGAGGGTATTCCACGTTTTTTTTTAACTAGTATAGGTTTTTTTTAACTAGTTATTAGATATGTGTGTGTGTATATATATATATATCTTTTGATAACCAGAATTCTTGATAAGACCATCTTCAATGCAAAATGTCATTTAGGGCTGTCAAATTTATATTTTGAGAAGAGCTACAGCGTCAAAATGTTATATTTTAACAATTCTGCTTCAATGGTGCATTTCATCCGTGCTCCATTGGTACATTTCATCCAAAATGTTAGGCCTTACTTGGAATGTATTTTAAAAAACAGTTCTCAAGAACAGTTTTCAAAGAATCAGAAAAGAAAACAAGATTTCTAGCCTACTTGATTAAGATAATTTACAAAATAGTTTTTAGAAAACAAAAACTCATAAAACTATTGGTTGTTTTTGAAAATAGTTTTCTAAACTAAGAAAATAAATAAAAATATTATTATATCTCACTCTTTTATTTCTTTAATTTATGTTATTAACTATTAATGTGTATATATATATATATATATATATATATATATATATAAGTGTTGGAGGTGAATTCATTTAGCTAGTATTCTTAACTTAATAAAAGTTACACAAATACAATATATCAAGTTTAATTAAAATTTGACTAAATTTAAATACAATAAAAGAGTTACATGAATTATTCCAAGTATCATATGCACTTTTAGTTGTATAAACATTAATTTTAATGGTACATAACTAAAATAAAATATTAGAGAATTACACAAATAGTTAATCAAAGCAAAACATTGGAGAAGCTATAGAATCTCTCAATCATGATTTGAGTGTAAATCAATGTTGCCTTTGATCTTCACAAAAAGAGCACCAACAACCTCTCTATTCAAGCTTTAGGTTTACTGTAACAAGGGTCATTTTGTCCCACATCGGAATCGAATGGGAAAGAGATTGAGTATAAATGGGTAGGTATGCAGCCTTACCTAACAGTTCGAGCTTTTGGGTAAATGGGCAAGCGCCCACCCGTTACAGTTGGTATCAGAGCCAAACCCAGTCCTTGATCCGGTGCCACGCCAAGCGCCCGGCCCGGAAGGCGTCCGGGTGAGTTCACCCGGGTAGGCAGGGTGGCCCAACCGCAACGAGGGCGTTGCGAGTTTGGGTGGGGGAGAATGTAACAAGGATCATTTTGTCCCACATCGGAATCGGATGGGAAAGAGATTGGGTATAAATGGGTAGGTATGCAGCCTTACCTAACAGTTCGAGCTTTTGGGTAAATGGGCAAGCGCCCACCCGTTACATTTACCATAGTGGGCTTGATCTTCCAAGTCTTGAGAAATTCTTCAAACAAAGCCAACAATGGGGTCTCTTCAATTTCAAATTCACTCTCTTTTTCTTCTACTAATTCTGTTTCAAAGATACTAACAAAACTCAAGAAAAAGTAACACTTAGAATGCATCAGCAAGAGGTGTGTGTGTGTGTGTGTGTATACACACACGCCAAAAGAGCCATTAGAGATTTGAACTTCTTCGTGTGACCCTTAGAACGAAAAATATCAGAATACAACCTTAGTTAATAAACTCAACCAAAAAAAAGTGATGCCCTCTATAATGAATTTAGATATTTAGACTCAATTTCCCAAAGAGATAAAAATTCAATACTAAACAGAATGGGATCTAACCAAATTTGTCATTTAAAAAGTGGTGTAAACAAAAAAAAAAAAAAAAAAAAAATTCCTTTTGACAACATAGAACATAACACTAGTATAAGTTTCATCATCCAGAATAACAAAAGGACCACAACAACTATGTAGAAAGATCAAATAAAAGTTGCTCATCAAATTAACAGGGGAAAAAAAAAGAACTTTGAGTCCATGATTGAACAAATAGAAAATAACAGACTGGAAATAAAAATTGCTCATAACAAAAAAAAATTGAACTTTGAGTCCAAGATTGAACAAATGTCATATTTTTTATGAATGAAAACATAAATATGACAGAGGGTAACATCTTATCCTGTCACAAGAAATCTGGAGGACTGTATGGCATTGATCATCATCAAGTTCTCACTGTCTAAGTAAAATGAGGGAAGGTTCAAGTGCCCATTGAAGGAAAATGGATGTGTGAGTTTAACATAAGAAAAAAAAAATTATCTAATAATTCAGAGAAGGAAAAAGGTGAACACATAAGATATAACATTAAAAGAAGAAAGTTTCTATTATGATCTATTCATAGATTCCATGTTTCTATTGGAGATTTCTAAACTAAGATGAACTGTGGGAGTCAATATTGGTTTTCTTTTGCATCAGAATCTGTTTTGTATTTTAAGACGATAGTAGAAAAACGAGAGATTGATTTGAAAGGAAAGTGTAGCTTAATTTTATATTTAACATTATAAACTTAGATCTCAACAAGATAAATGGATATATTAGATAGCCTTTAGATTTGCAAATCCGAAATAACAAGATGAAAGGAACTTTTTCAAATTCATGTAGGGAAGGATTCTGCTATCACTTTTTCAAATTCATGTGGGGAATGAACTTTTCGCATGTTATTAACATTTTGACATATGTTATATGATTGATCTCCCCCTTTCTTTTTACAACATTACTACACGTGGCTACATTGTTTTGCAATTACTTAAGCTGTCATCTCAAGAATCTTTGAATGATCCAATGTTCTATGTTCTATTAAGACATCGCAGCAAGTGTGGGAAACTTGATGTAATTATGAAAAACTAAGAAATAACAACCACCCATTTAACATAATTGGAATTTAGACCATCACAGCCATATTCAATGAAAGACTGGTGGAAAAATATATAACAAACAAATTGAAAATACCCATTTATAACTGTGTATAATTGTGTGTTGGATTAATACAGATATGTACACCACAAAATATATATCTATATAGAGGTATAAATTAAAAAGAAAAACACTAATTTTGCAAACAAGATTAAGCCTTTACATAGTTAAGTCATAGATAAGTGATCACAATAAAAGCAACACCCTATGTTTGGAGGAAAAAATTGTGTAGGCTACGCTACAATTAGAGGAGAGGTCTACAATTGGGATTGGACTACACCATCTTACATTCTTCTTTATTAGAGGGCTTAAAAATTTTGATACCAGCCAAAGCAGAACCTCGTTTCATACAAAATTTGCACAGTGCTGTATTTAAAATCTCCATTAATTTAAGCCCATTAACATTCGGTTGGATAGAGAAAGAGAAGTCCACCAACATTTGGTTGGATACAGCCAATTAGATATAAGGATAGAGCAGGGAATAGGAGAAATTTTGGACTTATTTTGTAATATTTGTTAAATTGGGCTTTTAAATTCTGTAAATTTTGATTGCACTAAAGAAGAAGATGTACCAACACTTTCTACCAAAAAAAAAGAAGGTTCAGTATTCTAAGGACCACAAATCCCTAAATCCTAAACTGATCGAAAACCCAAATCCCTAAACTAAAAACCACAAATCCCTAACCTAAAAATCAAATTCACAACGAAAATCACCCAACCAATAACATTCATAATCAAATCTACAACCAAACTCATCTAAAAAACAAAATCCATAACCAAAAACTTGCTACAGAAAAATACAGATTTGTGTTTACCTGAACAGATGGAGCTTGAAAAAATCTAAGCAAGAGTCTGGATGCAGAGGAGAGAAGTGCAGCGTTGCAAGAGATCTTGTAGAGGGAAGAGGACCGAGATGCCGGGTTCAGATGAGGTGATGCAGAGCTTTTTCGTGAAGGAGACGAGAAGGACTGAAGGTGGCGCAAAACTGTTATAAACGATATAGGTACGGACCGCTTTTTTAAGTGAAGAACAGTGTTCTCCGCATGTTCTCCAAAATAGCAAAAACAAGTTTGAGTTGTTCTTAGAAAACAGCTACTCATTGGACTCTTGTTTTGAAAAAACAGTTTCTATAACCATGTTTCAAGCTGACCATTTTTTTCAAAAATTGTTTTTTGTAACTCCCAAGACAAAAAACTGTTTTAGGAGATACATTCCAAGCAGGACCTTAATTCTCAGCCTCCATTGAATCAAGCCCAACCCACTTCTAGCTTCCCCAATCCTACCTTCATTGCATTCTGTCCCATATAATATTTTTAGGGCAAATCATTTCAGCCTCCCCATTCGCCTCCATCTTTATTCTCGTTCTCAACTCTGAACTTGCCCTCTCTCTCTCTCCAACTGCAAACTACAAAATCTACAAGAATCAGAAGTTCAAAACTAACATATTTCAGTTTATCTATCTGTTTGCAAGAATCAAAAGTTTAAAACCCATATCGGCATATCATTTCAGATTGTTCAAAAAATTAAAACCCATATCTTTCAGTTTCAATCGCCCGCTATTCCAATTCAGGTTCGCTGTTCGCAAGCTGCAGTCGTCTCTGAACTCTCAGGCTTGCCCCCCCCCCCCCCCCCCCTCTCTCTCTCTGCAACTGTTATTAAAAATAATTTTGAGGTAATCACCGTAATCTACATTTTTTTCCTTGGAAGGAAGAGGGGTGGCCTAAAGATTTGCGAGGATGAACTTGGCCTTGACGGCGTCGTTTTGGGCAATTAAAGACTTGCAAAAAAAAAATTGACAGCTCCTATATTGAGAGAAGATTTGAGATTCTCAATTTTTGAAAGCGAGAGTCCATCGGCAAGTCCACTTTTTCCACACCTCTCGAATTTTAGGTTTGACAGCCCAAATAAAAGAACATTGGAGTTGCTCTTAGCATGTGATATTACTGCTATAGTATCCAGCCATCACATGGCAAAAGCGGGCAGAAAAGATTAGGGGTTAACTAACTCAGGCGTAAAAAGTAGTGCTTTTTAGTCTTTTTCACGTTTAATCCCTGCAGTGATCCCAACCAAGGTTGAGGCCAAGGTTGGAAGAACATTTAGAAAATTCAATTTCTTCATCTGCCATAGTCAACTTCATTTATTCGCATTAGGATATATATATTTCCCTTTATACCATACTTTATTTATCGGAAAAATAAGCAGAGAAAAGTGGAGGTGATGATCAAAAGTATTGGGACAAATTTATATTCGGAAAATGAATATGTAGCAGAAATAATTCATTTGGGAGGTATTCTTGAAATCGTAATTAATAATTTACACCAAAACAAAAACCTAATATTTGTTTGGAATGAGAAAACATACATCAAGAATCAATTCACGCACTAATTACTTTGGATTAATTTGTATCTGACCTCACTTGTAAGTCTGCAGTGGAAGAGTTTAGAAGACTACTGTTACAAGGGGGCTTTGACCAAATCGAATTTGGTATATATGGATTGAGTGTTAATAACTGTTGCGTATTCTAGTGTGCTCACCTGCGTAGGCAAGTTACTAAAGAGAAGATAAACAGAAACAAGGCAGCTGTTGAACATGTGTTCACATAAAAAGGAATCCAAAAACGAAATCATCAAATTGAATTTACAACTTTCACTCATATATTTATATATATATATTTTCATAACTCATTTTCTTCACTTTTCTAAATCCCGCACAATATTTTCCACAATATGGCACTGTTTTCTTTACAATACCATCCATCACAAGTACTACAAGTACTACAATATGCAAAGATCCAAAGTAAATTCATCGCGAGTGGAAAAGATGTTTGAATAAAAGCTGTTCTCGTGTGTGCTGGAAAAGAGAATAACCGGAAATTGTTGACAAAGAATGACATAACCGGAAATTGTTGACAAAGAATGACATAACCGGAAATTGTTGACAAAGAATGACATTAAAAGTTCTTCAAGACTAATACATTATTATTACATTACTATTTAAGAATAGTAATTTATTTACAAATTACTTACACAATGCAAGGGAGTAGTCATAGAGTATCCGTAACACCTCCCCTGTATACATCTATAAATCTCTCTATATCTTCTATACATCTATAAATCTCTCTATACACCTATAAATTGAGGTAGAAATTGCAGTGTCACCGGATTTGACTTCTTCCAAGAGATGATGCTCCAAATTCAATATTCTGCAAGATAGTTTCATCCGCATATATAAATAATTGGTATGAATATATATATATATATACACACACACACACACATATATTTTAATCATTAAAGTATTTAAAAGAATAGTTACCTGAGATTTACTAGATTTACTAGCAGGGAACACTTTCCAGAATCTAAGTGTTTCATCTCCAGATCCTGTGACAATATTCTGGAAAAACAATTATTGCAAGTGTAAGCGAAAGGGTAAACACAGAGAAACTAAAATTCTTAGTTGCTGTTCATAATAAAAGTTACAAAGAAAAAGTTCATCTAAGCTACCTGTCCATTCGGAGAGATAGCAAGGTAAAGAACTCTGTGTGTATGGCCTGTGAGAGTTGCCAACTGCAGCAACACGAGAAGATAAGCAAAACAAATTTTTTTTTTAAAAAAAAAATAACGAAAAAGATAAAACAGGTTACATTTCACAAATTACCTTCGACATTGTAGGATATTCCCAAACAACAATTTCGTTTCCGGAATACCCTTGTGTGCTGACAAGCTCATTGGAGTTCTTTGACCAGACTAGATTGCATACCTGATACAATGGAAACTTGAACATATCAGTCACCACTAGAATATTTATTTTACTGTAATTAAGAGTCTTTTAAATTTAAATAAATAAAAAAGAAAAGTATATGGTGTCGTCCATTACATGAAGCATATATAAGCCATGTGATCAACTTATCTCCAAATTATCATCTCCCATGGAAAGAATCAACCACATTACTGAATTTCATTGCATCCTATAATCAACAGAATGATCTTAAAGAGATGGAAAAAACTTGAATAATTTTTTATTGAATCTAATAATGTAGGACTCCTGGGGTGAAGTGATAAAAGTTTAGTTTGATAAGAGAGAATGTGGCACTAGAGTAGCCAGTTTACGCAAATTAAAGCCAAAATTTAGGTTTCTCAAATCCACCTTCTCAAGCGCCACATGTACGGACGCCAACAATGATGATGGCCTATTTTAGCAAGTACAACTTTCACATTTTTTCTTTAGATGATTAGCTCACTCTACTTGTTATGCCACAATGTCCAGAACTATAAAGACTCCATGCATAGTTACTAAGGCTTCCCCCTCCCCCCAAAAAAAATAAAAATCACAGACAAACAGCCGCAACACAATGAATATAAAGATTCCAAATCAATATGTTTACGAGAATTAATCATCAATCGATTAGCAAAGTATATATTAAAGTCAAACAACTAATCCATGAAAATAGAATATAAGGACATAACTTTTGAACTCAATTAAAGGACATTTTAATTTCATTATAAGTTTGTCATTTTCGCTGGCTTTCTTTTATAAGGCTTATCAAACTACAATTGTCATGCCACGTGACCTTTTAGAATCCGTGACCCACTTGCATAAAATTAATAACCATCTCTCCTGAAGTGGAGTTCTTATATCTAAGCTTTATCTCTTCTGTTGTGGTTATATCTAATAACCACAACAGAAGTGGTACATTAGGTTCAGCAAATCTAATCTTTCCAAAAACTCAATATATCCATTGGTATGAAGAAAAAAAAATGCAAAGGGGATTTACACCTGAAAACATATGAAAGGCTTACAAAAAAGCAAGATGCAGCAGCTCAAAAAAAATTAGTCCTTGTTGCAACACCCTAAGTTGTCAAAAAAGAACAGCTATTGGTTATGACCTAAAAAAATACACAGAGTAAAAATGAACTAAACAAAAAGGTTGAGTTGCTTGTTTAAATAGCGGTTCTTTTGTTATAGAAGTGTTTTTTAACACGATATTAAGATGTATGGTATAGATTTTAGATTTCTAGCATGCCTTAGATATTAAACAGTATTTTTTTCGTTTTTGTTTTGATAAGTAGATATTAAACAGTAATTGATGTAATTACTATGCTCTCAAAATCATTTGTCCAGGATGCAGTCAATTGTGCAGCAAATTATATTCGGAAACACATTAAATTTTGGACAATAAGGCTGTTTTAAACAATCTCATCTCTACAGATCACTATTTAGGAAAAGAAACAAGTGTCATTTTGAAAATGTTGGTCAGCAATTTTTCACTGAGATGTATATTTAAAGTCTTTTGACATTCTGTACTAACCAAACCAAAGAACTTACAACTTTGTTTTTTCAGTGCTTCATCATTGCATCTTTCACCTCCTTATGTTAGAGAACTTACAACTGTACCCATTCTAAAGTCTACTCATTAGAGGACCCTAGTATCATGTTTACAGGAACATCTTAACAGAAAAGAAATCTCTGAAGTTAGTTTAATGTCGTCCAAATGATTTTTCTGCCTATTCAGTAATGTGTATCAACACACACAAGGTCATTGGCATTTCAAGGGTTTATTTCAAAGTATTGCAGGTCCTTCCCGAATTTTCTCCTTCCTCCTTCCCTCCAAAATTCCAAATAGAGGGAAAAAAAGAAAATAAAGAAAAATTAACCATGATATCCTGATTTTAAAGGTCCAATTCTGTACCATCAATCACCCACTCTTAAGGATAAAAAACATCCGGAATTCTCATGCTTTGTTAATTAGTAATTTAACAACATACATCTTTAAGACTTGAACAACTTGTAATTTTATTTTCTTAAATTCTTTATTTCTTCTAAATTCATGGTGTTTGATTACCCTAGTATTAGGGCACGAGCAACTTAATTCCCCATTGTAATCCGTGCACAATTATAAGACATATGAATTCCAGGCTTCAGAAATTTAAAACTAGAAACTCATATGACAATATAACGATTTTTTTCTTCTTCTTTCTGGAAATTCAGTATAACGATTATTCCCCTTGAAAGTGACAGCTTGCAACAAAATTAACAATCTAAGTCCATTGTGTGAATCAAACAAATTCAACAAGAAATAAAATCAATACTATGTAAAGGCGAAGTAGCTCACCTGGCTTCCTGTGTTCATGCAGCTCAAGTGTGAGTTATTGATCGTGTTCCAAAAACGCATGCATTGGTCAGCAGTACCACCACCAGAAGCTAGAAGCGCATGAGCATGGGGGGACCATGCAATTGCTTTTACAGCCGCAGTATGCTCACAGTATTTCAGCACAGGTAGAGTTGAATGTTGATTCCAAACAAAAAGCTGCAAGGGAAGAATTATTTTCCAATTAGGAGTTAAAAATATCAGTCACAGACCCTGGCATACTAGAGCAACCATGCAATAAGCATCATGATAATTGAGATTTGAAAAAGCATCACATACTTGACCATCATTATCACCGGATGCTAACTGGTGATTATCATAAGACCACTTCAATCCACAAACCTAAACCAAAGCCAGTAACATGAGAAGGAACTTAGAGAAAAAGAAAAGAAAAAAAAAAAAAAACGAAGAATGAATTAAGAGTAATAATTAATGAAAAAAGACAATTAATAAAGAGCAACAAAGGAAAGAAACTCATATCATACTACTAAATTAGTCAACATGAGACAAGAGAAGACATATTTCAAATAAAAAATAGATTTGAAGTGACGTTTGGAGTCTAACCGCTGATTGGTGTCCAGTTAGCTTACTAACATGCTCTTCAGGAGCACGTATATCTCGTTGAAGAATGGTCTTGTCCTTGCCACCTGATGACAAGAGAGATGAACTCCAAGCTAGTGCAAAAACATTCAATTGATGACCCTCCATAGTTCGTACCCTCTTGCAGCGAGATGCATCCCAAATCTAAATATAATGAAGTAAAGAATTCATAAATCAGTCATGATACTGGGCAGTATATGTATTACACAATTATTAGAGTGGTTGGCGTAACAAATAAAATATCTTTATTATTACAGGGACTGTTCAAGCTTATCAAATATATTTTTACAAAAATAAGTGATGTAGAACGGGAAGAGAGAATGAGAGTGAGGAGTAGGGAGAGGAGAGAGGGAGAGGGAGAGAGGAGAGAATATATCAGAAATTCAATACTCTATTATTCAATAATCATAACAGGTACTTTATCCAATAAATATGACAATGTATATACAGGCAACCAAAGAAAGATCAAGTCATAAGAGTCAAGAATGGCTGCCATGAGCCCTAGAAAACCATATAGCCTAGCCTGTAATAGCTACGGTAAATGAGATTATCATTAAGTTACTACTACTAGTATGTTAAAGTTACGCCAAAAAGTACAGTATCTTCAGGGGACACCATCACATGTGTTCCAAAGTTCTTTAACGTGTCCAAATTAATACGGTATCACATCTCTTGGTCAATATAAATATGTAACTTTTAACTGCAGAATCTAATAAAATAATATTGATATATGTGCAACTTTTCTGATTGTTTCAATTCAATTTTACTTGCTTTTTATCAAAAACAATTTATATAGACTAACAAATTCATTTATTTCTGATTTTTTATAATTTTCAAAAATTCTGTAAATTTTATTAATATATTAATACATTTTGTACTTTTATATTAAAGATTAAGTAGACTAATATATGTGTAATATAAAGATATAATGTACAATACACACTAATATTCTTATAAAAATGCATTTTAAAAAAATTAAAAAATTTAGGTTAAAAAAAATCAAAAAACTAAAACAGATAAAAATGATTACTTTATTAGCTTTTGAAAAAATTCCAAAATATTCTAAGAATAAGTAGATCGGGAGATTCACAACAAGATCCATGAAAATGTTACATCTAATGTAGAAAAACAACATTTTCATATTAAATATAGGTAAAAGGAAGAAAAAAAATTACAATCCTACCAATATTTCACAAAATCATGAAGCTTTTACTGAAGATTTACAGCCATTTTTTTTTTTTTTTTTCCCTTTAGACTTATATATTTAAGTTGTTGGGTGTTTTTGAAGGCTCTTTGGATGTGCTGAGGAACTCATTTGTAAGCGAGAAAAATGAGAAGTTTAGGTACTCATTTGGAAGCGAGAGAAATGCGAAGTTTAGGAACTCATTTGAAAGCTAGAGAAATGAGAAGTTTAGGGGGAAAAAAAATAGTTTATATTGTTGGTTGGCCAAAACTGTAATGTTGCAGCCATGATGTATCCATCGCAGCTGAGCCGCGCTGAGCCGGTAATTATTCATAGACTCGCCAAGATATCAGCCCGACTCAGTTGTGGTGGCAGTCACGGCCAAGTCTGTTACACTGAATTTTAATTTTTTTAATATATATATAAATGATTTGGTTACATTATGAAATCAAACAAGAGGAAACCGGGCTTGCAAAACCATATCAAATTTACACGGGACGAATACAAATTTTAGGATATCTGGTTTTAGTTAAGTATTCCAAGGCTTTTAATATTATGGACTTCATTTTACGTTAGGAAGGGGTTAATACAACAAACTTGATATTCACCCAATAGAGCCCTCACATTAAGTTTTTCACAGAGATTGATAAGGACTACATACCTCCGTATTGATGTAGATTTATTTATATGTGATATTAGAGCTCCAGCCCTACAGTTTGATTCATGACTTTGCCTTTGTTATCAAATAGTCTGAGTAAATTCTGCTCCTCAGTGTACACCTTAAAGTTTCGATATACATGGTAGTCCTTTTCTCACAGGAACTTCTGTTAATTACAACCAGACAACTAGCAGGATTATTCCTTATTATGGTTTCAAAAGTATGTCAATCCCCAATTGTTATTTGGGCTTGGTTATACCCGTCAAAGTTACTGTTTAGTGTAAATAATTCAAGGAACATGTAAGGTTGCAAGATGTAATTGACATTTTATATTACAAAAGCCTTTGCGCATACCAAATAAATGGCTCATAAGTTCAAATTACCCTCACAAAATATACCTGGACTTTGCCCTTGTTAGTTCCAACCGCAAGATTCGTTCCATGCTGAGCCCAACTAACTGAACACACACTTTCATCCACCTCGAAGTCGCACAACTTCGTCAGCTGCATATGGAGTGCCCGATTAATAATATTTAAACATAAGCACAAGTTCAAGAAGTTCATCAAAACGGATTTTAATTTAATGTGTATACGTGTATGCGTGTATACATGTATTGTTGGCAGCTTATGATTGAAATAACACACAAAAAAAGGGGAAAAACATAAAACTCACCTTCTTATTGCAAACATTCCATGTATAAACACAGTTACCCATACCCACCGCCAACACATTATGCGTGGACCAGTCAACAAGATTACTGTAATAATCATCTTTCAACTCCGGTGCATATAAAACCTAATGAGAAAAAAAAGAAAAAAGAAAGAAAGCAATTCAATACAATACCCATAAATTTAAATCATCTTAAACAGAACAAAATAAAACCAAACCAAGAAATTCACCTTATAAGGATTCCTAGGAATCTCCCTCGGAGCCTTAACCCGACTATGACTAACCCTGGAAAAGTGATCATCG